AAATATACTAATTAGTTAAATTAGAGTAGAAACTAGTTTAGATAGTAGTATGTAATTTTTACAAAGCTCGACACAGGCTTATAATTGTGATCGTCCATTGTGGGTATATCCTATGTTTTTTCTTTTTTTTCATTTTCTCTCTATCTCTTTATTTTCTTGTTTGTATCTTTTATCATATTCCCTTATATCTCTGTGTTTTTTTGTAAAATGTTTTTTTTTCTTTCACTTCCCTATGAGAAGATGTCATCAGATTAGCGATATCCTATTGTAGGGCGGTGGTTGGACGAGCCCCATCTAGGGTATTATCTTAATTGATCATACCTTTGCGTTGCGGCAGGTCACCTGTAGGTACGTATAAGTAATCGGTTAGGTTATGCGAGGTAACCGCAGGATGTTAGGGTCATAGTTTTATTGTTTACAGCTTTCACAAAAAGAACTTGGATAAACAAAAATCACTGGCGTGACCTTGCCTAAGTGAAAAAAAAAAAAAACTTAACTATTTGACTTCATTCAAGATCTCAAGTAATTAGAATAGTGATCTTGTAACATACTTCTACTAATACTTTTTTAAAATAATTTATAAAGTCAAATAGTATTCTAATTCTAACTGATAACTATAGATAATAAAAAGTTAGCAAACTAACTTTAAATATAATTTTGTGCTAAATTAAATATAAAAATGATTATTTTAAATTTATTTTAGTTAAATCAAATTCATGTTTTTAGCTCATCTATTTTATCAAAGTAGAGTTTTCATAATAGATTATTGTAGATTATTTAAACTAGATGCCTTATACTATATATTCAAAGATTTGTTAGTGACTAATTATTTTGAAAAAAAATTTTTCTAATATATGATATTGAAGTAGCCAAAAGCTTGCAATTGCTAATTAAATTTTTGGCAATTATTCTAAAACATAATTTTCTAATTTTGTATATTTTCTGACTGCATTAACAAAAATACAGTTGGCTATATGTATACTCCCCTAACAAAAGTTATCAGCTCATAGCACAGATCAAATATATAAATAATGGTTAAATAATGGGATATATCTTTATTGACCTATTATTTACCCAATATGCATTCTGAAAAAGAATAATAATAAACTAACAAATATCAGCATTATAGTAAATTAAAAAATAGATATTGGATACAAAATAGTATATTTTTTGTTTCCTAATACTATCTCGTTATTCAACCTATATGCTAATAGTACTCTAGATGAATAAAGGTATATAAAAGGTAAAATAATTCTATACATTTTTTCTTCCTTTATCATCCTGATATTCATCCTACATGCTAATAGCATTCTAGATAAATAAAGATATGCAAAAGGTAAAATAATTCTATACATTTTTTCTTCCTTTATCATCTTGATATTCATCCTACATGCTAATAGCATTCTAGATAAATAAAGATATGCAAAAGATAAAATAATTATATATATTTTTTCTCTTCTTTTACTATCCTGATATTCAACTTACATGCTAATAGCACTTTAGATAAATAAAGGTATGCAAAAGATAAAATAATTATATATGTTTTTTCTCTTCTTTTACTATCTCGATATTCAACTTACATGCTAATAGCACTCTAGATAAATAAAAGTATACAAAAGGTAAAATAATTATATATGTTTTTTCTCTTCTTTTACTATCCTGATATTCAACTTATATGCTAATAGCACTCTTGATAAATAAAGGTATACTAAAGGTAAAATAATTATATACATTTTTTCTCTTCTTTTATTATTCTAATATTCAACTTACATACTAATAACACTCTAAATAAATAAAGGTATACAAAAGGTAAGATAATTATATATGTTTTTTCTCTTCTTTTACTATCTCGATATTTAACTTACATGCCAATAGTATACTAAATGAATAAAGGTATGCAAAAGGTAAAAGAGTTATATATAGGTATATTGTTTCTTTTCTTTTACTATCCCGATATTCAGCTTTATATAAATTGTATATAGATATACAAAGTATAAGATTATATTCACTTTTAACTCCTGATATACATAGTGTTATAATAATGTACAGTATATATAGCTTTCATTAAACAACAATTTATTTATTAAGTTTTATACGCATATATTATTTATACTATATTTTTCAATAATACAAATATATAAGACTATACAAATTTAATTAATTGTTTCTTATAATCTGGCCATGTTGAATTTTGAAATTTTTTTTAAATTTTATAAAATTATATATATATAAAATTTAAAAAAAAAAGCTAGAAGGCCAGGGTATTTTACTCTTCACTTTTCTCTTTCTCTTCTACTTCTTTCTCTTCTACTTTTTCTAGCTCTAACAGGCTTTTTAGAAATTTTATAGAGTTTGCAAATATCTTTGCAACTTCATCATTAGAAACTTGATAGTTAGTACTATCAGATCCATCTATATAGAAAACAAAATTAATGATTTGAATTATGCATTAATTAATGTATTTTATCTAATTACCTAATGATATGTTAGATTCCTGGTGACTTAATATAGTTTCACCTTCCGATATTAGAGAAGGATTTCGATAGAGTGTTGGATTTGCTAATATCAGAAAAATATATACAATAAATAATAATTTGTATAAGTTAACGATATTTAACTGCAATTTAATATATTAGTATAAAAATTAGCTGATATTAGTATTATAAGCCAGCTAGAGCAGCCATAGCTAAAGCAATTTAACCAGCTTAGCCAGCTAATATATTAGTATCAGCTGGCTAATGCTGCTTAAGATCACATGATTTAATAGTATAATTTAGGCCAAAGTGATAATGCCGAAAAGAATAAATTAATAGGAAATATAGTTAGACCTCTCTATCATCATCTTTTGATAGTCATATTTGCTTATAATAACAAAATTTTAAAAAAAATTTAACATTATATAAAATCTTAAAACCAAGAGTATTACTATAGAGAGGTTTGACTATATATGAAACTGAAAAATTCTGAAAAGAAAATGATTGAACATAAAATATGAGTAAGGATAAGAAAAAATTTAAATATTCGATAATTTCTAAAGGTAAAAATTTGGCTTTAGCTATTAGCTAGCCGTTTAGCTGATTTTTTTTATCAGCTGGCTTAGCCAGCTGATAAAAATCTTATAGCTTATAATATTAGCCAATACATATCTACTTTCTTTGAATTATCTTTTTCATCAACAATATCTTTTGAATTACCTTTTTCATCAACAATATCTTTTGATTTACCTTTTTCATCAACAACCTTTTTTGATTTCCTTTTTCATCAACAACCTTTTTTGATTACCTTTTTCATCAACAACCTTTTTTGATATATCTTTAATATTATTAAATTTATTAAAGGCAGTCGGTTGACATGCTTTTTGTTAAATTCAAAAACTAGAATTAGTTTCATTTAGTTATAATTAAACAAACAGTATTATTATCTTTACTTGTACTGTCCGAAAAGTTTTTTGATTGTGAACATATATTGTATATACTATACTGGTGTTTACTGGGTCTAGCGATTGCTTCATAGTTGTCATCAGAGGTATCCTCTATCAGAGTCATCTGGATTATTACTATTGGATCATCTGAATTGTTTTTATTGGGGATATTCTGATTAGCAGGATCATTTTGGTTAGCAGGAGCATTCTGGTTAGCAGAGCATCCTGATTAGCGGAATTATCCTGGTTAGTAAGAGCATTCTGATTAGCAAGGGCATTCTGGTTAGCAGAGGCATCCTAGTTAGCAGAAACATCCTGGTTAGCAGTAGCATCCTGGTTAGTAGTAGCATCTGAGTTAGTAGTAGCATCTGGATTAGTAGTAGCATTCTGGCTAGCAATAAAATCTGGGTTAGCAGTGGCATTCTGGTTAGCAGTAGCATCCAGGTTAGCAGTGGCATCCTGGTTAGTAGTAGCATCCAGGTTAGCAGTAGCATCTGAGTTAGTAGTAGCATCCTGATTAGCAGAGTCATCTGAGTTAGCGAAGTCATCCAGATTAGTGAGGTCATCTGAATTAGTGAGGTCATCCAGGTTAGTGAGGTTATCCGGGTTAGTGTAATCATCCGAGTTAGTAGAGTTATTCAGGTTATCTGAATTAGAGGTATCGCTATTATTATTAGACGTGAAAGCATCATGGTTAAGATATGATTTGGATAGTATCCAATCTGATGTATCCGAGGTGGAGTAATGTGATGATCTACTAATTCTGAAGCATTTGTCTACTAATATCTTGTGCATTTCTTTTTTATGGTAGATACTTTTTCCATTGACCATAAAATATTTTTTAACTATAAGTCAATTAACCAAAAATTCTTTTTTAAAAAAATTATATATACCATATATTATTGAATATAAGCTACCTCCTCAATTTTGGATTAAAAATTTAGAGGAAGTTATTATATTTTAATAATAAAATTAGACCCAAATAGAAGCTACTTCCTCTTTTTTAGTCTGAAAAAACTCTCAAAATTTGGTAGCTTCTATTCAATAATATACGGTACATATACAAGCATTGCTAAAGAAAAAAATTATATTTGTGGGCATTGCTAAAGAAAAAAAAGACTTTGAGTTTTTAATTTTATTATTTATTAGATAGCTATCGGCAATATATACAGAGTTGATAAATAGCCTAATTTGACTAATTTGATCAATGTTTTAATATATTATTAAAATTTTTTAATTATATTAATATTAAATTTTAATAATAGCTAAAAAATTAGTCAAATTGGTCAAATTGGTCCATTTGTCAACTCTGATATAATATATATACAATATCAGCAGTAATAATAATAATAAAATTGAAGCCTGAAGACTCATTTCTCTTGACAGTACTTATATTATTACATCATATATAAAATTAGTCCAAGATCAAAAATAATTACTCAAAGATAAGCATAATACTGATATTCATATAGATTTAGAACTTACTTTTCAGGATCGCCAAAGTTTATCTAGCACTTTGACCACTCAGTTATTGTGATCATTTTCACTATTCCAATCTCTGTTTCTCTGCTCTCTAATGGCCTTCTCGATATTAGTATTAGAAATTTCATCACTATGGTAATCTTGAATCTCTAATACCCATCTGATATTAGCAACCACTTGTTTTCGAGATATTTGTTTGAGTAAATTTTTGTATAAGGAGCAGCTTTTTGTTTTTACTAAATAATTAAAACCACTCCTTTGTCTTCACATTTTCTAATAAAATAAATTAAAATGAATTAAGTAAAAATAAAATAAAAATAATAAAATAATAGTAATAATAATATAAATAATAAATAATATTAATAATAAATAATAGTTATAATAATATTAAAATAATATTATTATTATTAAAATAATAATAAGAGTGAGATGTATAGTGCTGATATTTATATATATATATAATATTATTGATAAAAATATATCTGTGATGCCTAGATATTAATTCTTCTTTTTTTGTAGTATTCACACCTCTCCGGATTTAGTTTTTCCAAGTGCATTTTATATTGATATCAATGCAATTGTTGGATGATTTGAAGCACTTGATCCTTACTAACGTAGTATTTAATATTATGTATAATAACCAGGAGAGAATTCGCAATGAATCGATCTTCAAATTCATGCCATTGCTTTGAGGGGTCTGGTCTATCATGTTTGCTTAGACCATCAATAACTAAAAGGATATCAGTCTATAATAAAAAAATTCGATTAGAAATTCTATACATAAAACAAAATTTATCAAAAATATAAAAATAAACTAGCTATTATTAATATAAACATTATTTTGTTTATATTAATAATAACTAGTTTATTTTTATATTTTTGATAAATTTCTATCAAGCCCAATACTTATATCTATATGTTAAAACATACTCGAAGCACTTCTCAGATATCATTTTCATTACTGATATCAATATCCATGCTATCATCACTGCTGCTGCTAGTGATAATAATTGGTAAAGCTAAAAATCTTCGTTTTTGTTCTATATATATATATATAGCCTGCTTTACAATATACAAAATTACAATATATAAAATTTCTGATCAATATGTTACCTTTTGAAGATGAGTCTGAAAACAAAAAATGTCATCTCTTGCTTCTGCTTTCTTGGGCCATAACAGGCCCTTTTTTTTTCTTATATTGTCTTCTTTTATACAAAACAACTCTTTCACTAGCCATATTTTTTTAATATAAAAGAATTTACTAGCGAAAAAATAAGTGAGAAAATAAGAGTTATAGATAAAACAAAACTGAAAAAGAATTGTGAATAAAACAAGAAGAAGAAATTTATCCTATTTATATTTTTAACACTTTAAAAATTACGTATTGTTGGTAAAATAGATTGATGTATTCTTCACAAAACATATAGGCAAAATAAGCATTGACGAAATAAATGATATTTTAATTACATTAATATCAAGACTTAGTGGCAATATTTTATTAAGAAATTATAATATTTTTACATATTATGCTATACTTTATGCAAGTAATATTGAGAATTTTTTTTATTAAAAAAAAATACTGATATTAATATATGATATCAGTTATACATTAATATTGAGAATTTTTGATAAAAAATTTCATATATTATTATGATCAAATTTAGTTACATAACTGTAATATAATTTAAATATAATATAATAATATCAGGAATTTTTAGATAAAATTCTGATATTAAATATTAAGAATTTTTATTTAAAAAACCCCGATTATGTGAATTTAGTAATATTAATATCTATAATATAAGAGTTTGTTATAATATATTTATTGAGAAATTACATATTTTTTACTTGTCATTATTTTTATATATTAATATCGATAGCAGAGCTAAAATGACATATAGTAAATTCTGGTCATCCAAAGTGCCATTCATGATGTCAAAAAACAATAGTTAATATATATTATTTTTAATTTAAATATATCAAAAAAAAAACAAAAAACGATATTTTGGATGATTAAGATATATCGTTTTAGCTCTGATCAGAAGATTTTATTAAAAAAATTTTTAGTATCTGAATTGCTTCTAACAATAATACCTGAATTTATGGTTCTGCTCTACTTACTGAGTCATTTACAAACAGCTTATTCATAATTGCTAACTAACCCTATAAAATGAATGATTATCGGTAAAGTGAGCATTACAACAGATAAGGTTGGCAAGTATCAGATTATAGTTATAAATAAAATACAGAAAATTATAAGGGTGTAGCAACTTAGTGTAGTTGGTAAGTTGTCGTATCTTCAAGCAGCAGGACAAGAGTTCGAATTCTACCGATGATAAAATTCGAATTTGGGAAATATGTTACAGTAAAACTGTATAATATGTCGATCGGGTCAGCACCTGTAACCTTGGTCTTACCAACTCGTATTGAGAAGTTGTGGAATGTAATATAACTTATAAGTTATATGAAACCTGAATGAAGCAGCCAAATAAATCTAGAAGATCAGAGGATATGGAAGCCTGCTTAGAAAGTCCCGAGTAGAGAAGTAGTACAAATCTTTGATGGCGCTACATAAAGGATTATCATCTGAGAACTGGACACCGAAGGCAAACTGAATGAGGACCGAGTGTTTGGCAAGCACTTTACCAACCAGGCCGTCAGATTAACTGGAGAAAAAAGGATTCATTCAGAATACCAGAGGACACCCACTGGTCCCTCCCAGACCATTTAGATTGGAAGTTTAGGATGCTGATGGTTAGTATCGAAGTACTGTTGATAGTTTATAAAGTGGGTGCTAGAGTTTAGGTGAACTTTGCAAGGGCACAGAGTAGGTAATAGTAGCAGAATTAAAAAGCTGCAAGTACTTGGCCGTGGCCTAGGCGTAAGTTACTGAAAATCTAGGTGATACATCTGTGAGATATAGACTACTCTGGTAGGTTTATCACAAGGATAAAGGACCCCTCTATATAGTAATGTGTATCTGCTATAAAGTCCTAAGGGGCTTATATAGCAGTTCCTCTTTGAGGAGAATATCCTGACAGTACTAAGTTGATCAGAGGGTTTAATTAGGTAACTCAAGTAATAATAGGTTACAGGTACGGTATCTAGTATAGTTCATATAGGTTATATATGCAAAACTGTTTAAATAAACAACCAAATGTTGTACATATGGCTAGAATGTATCCTCGTTAATATAACAAAGTCAGTGGTAGCCTATGTGGTTATCCTGGTATTCGATCCAAAGTTCAATAAAATGTGCCAGATCCCAAAGTGGTCACCTTAATATTAAAAAATTAAAAAATAAAAAATACAGAAAATTATAATATTAATACCAAATCAAATAAATATATTTAGTATTTATATAAATAAAAAAACTATAAACTGATATAAAACTGATATAAATATGATAATATATACTGATATATAAATAAAAATGCTACTTTAAATATTGGTATTTATAAATTGTATTTTCTATATAAAGGAATTACTGTTATATAGATTTTTAGATTCTTTTTAATATCAATAGTATATAAACCGAAAATATATCTGATATATGGAAATTATACAGTCCCTGCTTAACTCATAAAATTCTTGATCCCACAACTCTATATTACAACTAAAATCATCATTATATGGAACCTTGTCTTATAATTTTCAGCAGGTTTATACTATCTTACAAATGCAAGATGATATATTTGTTCACAGGAAGGAAGATAGATAGTGTGATCAAAGTAGAATTGAACCTGACTGGAATATGAATCTGCTGATTCATCTTTTGAAGCAACAAATCTTGCTAGAATTCTTGAAGATTTCATATAGTGAGCTGAGAATGTAAATCCAAAAATTTCTGATTCTAACTTTAATCATTCATATTGAATAATAGCAGAAAATACAGGTATCTGATCAATTTTTAATATACTTCCAGGTTTAGTGAATTGATAGCTTAGATCTGCCACATTATAGAATTCAACTAAAAGGTTTTGAATATCAGGTTGTAATATAGAGTTGTGGGATCAAGAATTTTATGAGTTAAGCAGGGACTGTATAATTTCCATATATCAGATATATTTTCGGTTTATATACTATTGATATTAAAAAGAATCTAAAAATCTATATAACAGTAATTCCTTTATATAGAAAATACAATTTATAAATACCAATATTTAAAGTAGCATTTTTATTTATATATCAGTATATATTATCATATTTATATCAGTTTTATATCAGTTTATAGTTTTTTTATTTATATAAATACTAAATATATTTATTTGATTTGGTATTAATATTATAATTTTCTGTATTTTTTATTTTTTAATTTTTTAATATTAAGGTGACCACTTTGGGATCTGGCACATTTTATTGAACTTTGGATCGAATACCAGGATAACCACATAGGCTACCACTGACTTTGTTATATTAACGAGGATACATTCTAGCCATATGTACAACATTTGGTTGTTTATTTAAACAGTTTTGCATATATAACCTATATGAACTATACTAGATACCGTACCTGTAACCTATTATTACTTGAGTTACCTAATTAAACCCTCTGATCAACTTAGTACTGTCAGGATATTCTCCTCAAAGAGGAACTGCTATATAAGCCCCTTAGGACTTTATAGCAGATACACATTACTATATAGAGGGGTCCTTTATCCTTGTGATAAACCTACCAGAGTAGTCTATATCTCACAGATGTATCACCTAGATTTTCAGTAACTTACGCCTAGGCCACGGCCAAGTACTTGCAGCTTTTTAATTCTGCTACTATTACCTACTCTGTGCCCTTGCAAAGTTCACCTAAACTCTAGCACCCACTTTATAAACTATCAACAGTACTTCGATACTAACCATCAGCATCCTAAACTTCCAATCTAAATGGTCTGGGAGGGACCAGTGGGTGTCCTCTGGTATTCTGAATGAATCCTTTTTTCTCCAGTTAATCTGACGGCCTGGTTGGTAAAGTGCTTGCCAAACACTCGGTCCTCATTCAGTTTGCCTTCGGTGTCCAGTTCTCAGATGATAATCCTTTATGTAGCGCCATCAAAGATTTGTACTACTTCTCTACTCGGGACTTTCTAAGCAGGCTTCCATATCCTCTGATCTTCTAGATTTATTTGGCTGCTTCATTCAGGTTTCATATAACTTATAAGTTATATTACATTCCACAACTTCTCAATACGAGTTGGTAAGACCAAGGTTACAGGTGCTGACCCGATCGACATATTATACAGTTTTACTGTAACATATTTCCCAAATTCGAATTTTATCATCGGTAGAATTCGAACTCTTGTCCTGCTGCTTGAAGATACGACAACTTACCAACTACACTAAGTTGCTACACCCTTATAATTTTCTGTATTTTATTTATAACTATAATCTGATACTTGCCAACCTTATCTGTTGTAATGCTCACTTTACCGATAATCATTCATTTTATAGGGTTAGTTAGCAATTATGAATAAGCTGTTTGTAAATGACTCAGTAAGTAGAGCAGAACCATAAATTCAGGTATTATTGTTAGAAGCAATTCAGATACTAAAAATTTTTTTAATAAAATCTTCTGATCAGAGCTAAAACGATATATCTTAATCATCCAAAATATCGTTTTTTGTTTTTTTTTTGATATATTTAAATTAAAAATAATATATATTAACTATTGTTTTTTGACATCATGAATGGCACTTTGGATGACCAGAATTTACTATATGTCATTTTAGCTCTGCTATCGATATTAATATATAAAAATAATGACAAGTAAAAAATATGTAATTTCTCAATAAATATATTATAACAAACTCTTATATTATAGATATTAATATTACTAAATTCACATAATCGGGGTTTTTTAAATAAAAATTCTTAATATTTAATATCAGAATTTTATCTAAAAATTCCTGATATTATTATATTATATTTAAATTATATTACAGTTATGTAACTAAATTTGATCATAATAATATATGAAATTTTTTATCAAAAATTCTCAATATTAATGTATAACTGATATCATATATTAATATCAGTATTTTTTTTTAATAAAAAAAATTCTCAATATTACTTGCATAAAGTATAGCATAATATGTAAAAATATTATAATTTCTTAATAAAATATTGCCACTAAGTCTTGATATTAATGTAATTAAAATATCATTTATTTCGTCAATGCTTATTTTGCCTATATGTTTTGTGAAGAATACATCAATCTATTTTACCAACAATACGTAATTTTTAAAGTGTTAAAAATATAAATAGGATAAATTTCTTCTTCTTGTTTTATTCACAATTCTTTTTCAGTTTTGTTTTATCTATAACTCTTATTTTCTCACTTATTTTTTCGCTAGTAAATTCTTTTATATTAAAAAAATATGGCTAGTGAAAGAGTTGTTTTGTATAAAAGAAGACAATATAAGAAAAAAAAAGGGCCTGTTATGGCCCAAGAAAGCAGAAGCAAGAGATGACATTTTTTGTTTTCAGACTCATCTTCAAAAGGTAACATATTGATCAGAAATTTTATATATTGTAATTTTGTATATTGTAAAGCAGGCTATATATATATATATAGAACAAAAACGAAGATTTTTAGCTTTACCAATTATTATCACTAGCAGCAGCAGTGATGATAGCATGGATATTGATATCAGTAATGAAAATGATATCTGAGAAGTGCTTCGAGTATGTTTTAACATATAGATATAAGTATTGGGCTTGATAGAAATTTATCAAAAATATAAAAATAAACTAGTTATTATTAATATAAACAAAATAATGTTTATATTAATAATAGCTAGTTTATTTTTATATTTTTGATAAATTTTGTTTTATGTATAGAATTTCTAATCGAATTTTTTTATTATAGACTGATATCCTTTTAGTTATTGATGGTCTAAGCAAACATGATAGACCAGACCCCTCAAAGCAATGGCATGAATTTGAAGATCGATTCATTGCGAATTCTCTCCTGGTTATTATACATAATATTAAATACTACGTTAGTAAGGATCAAGTGCTTCAAATCATCCAACAATTGCATTGATATCAATATAAAATGCACTTGGAAAAACTAAATCCGGAGAGGTGTGAATACTACAAAAAAAGAAGAATTAATATCTAGGCATCACAGATATATTTTTATCAATAATATTATATATATATATAAATATCAGCACTATACATCTCACTCTTATTATTATTTTAATAATAATAATATTATTTTAATATTATTATAACTATTATTTATTATTAATATTATTTATTATTTATATTATTATTACTATTATTTTATTATTTTTATTTTATTTTTACTTAATTCATTTTAATTTATTTTATTAGAAAATGTGAAGACAAAGGAGTGGTTTTAATTATTTAGTAAAAACAAAAAGCTGCTCCTTATACAAAAATTTACTCAAACAAATATCTCGAAAACAAGTGGTTGCTAATATCAGATGGGTATTAGAGATTCAAGATTACCATAGTGATGAAATTTCTAATACTAATATCGAGAAGGCCATTAGAGAGCAGAGAAACAGAGATTGGAATAGTGAAAATGATCACAATAACTGAGTGGTCAAAGTGCTAGATAAACTTTGGCGATCCTGAAAAGTAAGTTCTAAATCTATATGAATATCAGTATTATGCTTATCTTTGAGTAATTATTTTTGATCTTGGACTAATTTTATATATGATGTAATAATATAAGTACTGTCAAGAGAAATGAGTCTTCAGGCTTCAATTTTATTATTATTATTACTGCTGATATTGTATATATATTATATCAGAGTTGACAAATGGACCAATTTGACCAATTTGACTAATTTTTTAGCTATTATTAAAATTTAATATTAATATAATTAAAAAATTTTAATAATATATTAAAACATTGATCAAATTAGTCAAATTAGGCTATTTATCAACTCTGTATATATTGCCGATAGCTATCTAATAAATAATAAAATTAAAAACTCAAAGTCTTTTTTTTCTTTAGCAATGCCCACAAATATAATTTTTTTCTTTAGCAATGCTTGTATATGTACCGTATATTATTGAATAGAAGCTACCAAATTTTGAGAGTTTTTTCAGACTAAAAAAGAGGAAGTAGCTTCTATTTGGGTCTAATTTTATTATTAAAATATAATAACTTCCTCTAAATTTTTAATCCAAAATTGAGGAGGTAGCTTATATTCAATAATATATGGTATATATAATTTTTTTAAAAAAGAATTTTTGGTTAATTGACTTATAGTTAAAAAATATTTTATGGTCAATGGAAAAAGTATCTACCATAAAAAAGAAATGCACAAGATATTAGTAGACAAATGCTTCAGAATTAGTAGATCATCACATTACTCCACCTCGGATACATCAGATTGGATACTATCCAAATCATATCTTAACCATGATGCTTTCACGTCTAATAATAATAGCGATACCTCTAATTCAGATAACCTGAATAACTCTACTAACTCGGATGATTACACTAACCCGGATAACCTCACTAACCTGGATGACCTCACTAATTCAGATGACCTCACTAATCTGGATGACTTCGCTAACTCAGATGACTCTGCTAATCAGGATGCTACTACTAACTCAGATGCTACTGCTAACCTGGATGCTACTACTAACCAGGATGCCACTGCTAACCTGGATGCTACTGCTAACCAGAATGCCACTGCTAACCCAGATTTTATTGCTAGCCAGAATGCTACTACTAATCCAGATGCTACTACTAACTCAGATGCTACTACTAACCAGGATGCTACTGCTAACCAGGATGTTTCTGCTAACTAGGATGCCTCTGCTAACCAGAATGCCCTTGCTAATCAGAATGCTCTTACTAACCAGGATAATTCCGCTAATCAGGATGCTCTGCTAACCAGAATGCTCCTGCTAACCAAAATGATCCTGCTAATCAGAATATCCCCAATAAAAACAATTCAGATGATCCAATAGTAATAATCCAGATGACTCTGATAGAGGATACCTCTGATGACAACTATGAAGCAATCGCTAGACCCAGTAAACACCAGTATAGTATATACAATATATGTTCACAATCAAAAAACTTTTCGGACAGTACAAGTAAAGATAATAATACTGTTTGTTTAATTATAACTAAATGAAACTAATTCTAGTTTTTGAATTTAACAAAAAGCATGTCAACCGACTGCCTTTAATAAATTTAATAATATTAAAGATATATCAAAAAAGGTTGTTGATGAAAAAGGTAATCAAAAAAGGTTGTTGATGAAAAAGGAAATCAAAAAAGGTTGTTGATGAAAAAGGTAAATCAAAAGATATTGTTGATGAAAAAGGTAATTCAAAAGATATTGTTGATGAAAAAGATAATTCAAAGAAAGTAGATATGTATTGGCTAATATTATAAGCTATAAGATTTTTATCAGCTGGCTAAGCCAGCTGATAAAAAAAATCAGCTAAACGGCTAGCTAATAGCTAAAGCCAAATTTTTACCTTTAGAAATTATCGAATATTTAAATTTTTTCTTATCCTTACTCATATTTTATGTTCAATCATTTTCTTTTCAGAATTTTTCAGTTTCATATATAGTCAAACCTCTCTATAGTAATACTCTTGGTTTTAAGATTTTATATAATGTTAAATTTTTTTTAAAATTTTGTTATTATAAGCAAATATGACTATCAAAAGATGATGATAGAGAGGTCTAACTATATTTCCTATTAATTTATTCTTTTCGGCATTATCACTTTGGCCTAAATTATACTATTAAATCATGTGATCTTAAGCAGCATTAGCCAGCTGATACTAATATATTAGCTGGCTAAGCTGGTTAAATTGCTTTAGCTATGGCTGCTCTAGCTGGCTTATAATACTAATATCAGCTAATTTTTATACTAATATATTAAATTGCAGTTAAATATCGTTAACTTATACAAATTATTATTTATTGTATATATTTTTCTGATATTAGCAAATCCAACACTCTATCGAAATCCTTCTCTAATATCGGAAGGTGAAACTATATTAAGTCACCAGGAATCTAACATATCATTAGGTAATTAGATAAAATACATTAATTAATGCATAATTCAAATCATTAATTTTGTTTTCTATATAGATGGATCTGATAGTACTAACTATCAAGTTTCTAATGATGAAGTTGCAAAGATATTTGCAAACTCTATAAAATTTCTAAAAAGCCTGTTAGAGCTAGAAAAAGTAGAAGAGAAAGAAGTAGAAGAGAAAGAGAAAAGTGAAGAGTAAAATACCCTGGCCTTCTAGCTTTTTTTTTTAAATTTTATATATATATAATTTTATAAAATTTAAAAAAAATTTCAAAATTCAACATGGCCAGATTATAAGAAACAATTAATTAAATTTGTATAGTCTTATATATTTGTATTATTGAAAAATATAGTATAAATAATATATGCGTATAAAACTTAATAAATAAATTGTTGTTTAATGAAAGCTATATATACTGTACATTATTATAACACTATGTATATCAGGAGTTAAAAGTGAATATAATCTTATACTTTGTATATCTATATACAATTTATATAAAGCTGAATATCGGGATAGTAAAAGAAAAGAAACAATATACCTATATATAACTCTTTTACCTTTTGCATACCTTTATTCATTTAGTATACTATTGGCATGTAAGTTAAATATCGAGATAGTAAAAGAAGAGAAAAAACATATATAATTATCTTACCTTTTGTATACCTTTATTTATTTAGAGTGTTATTAGTATGTAAGTTGAATATTAGAATAATAAAAGAAGAGAAAAAATGTATATAATTATTTTACCTTTAGTATACCTTTATTTATCAAGAGTGCTATTAGCATATAAGTTGAATATCAGGATAGTAAAAGAAGAGAAAAAACATATATAATTATTTTACCTTTTGTATACTTTTATTTATCTAGAGTGCTATTAGCATGTAAGTTGAATATCGAGATAGTAAAAGAAGAGAAAAAACATATATAATTATTTTATCTTTTGCATACCTTTATTTATCTAAAGTGCTATTAGCATGTAAGTTGAATATCAGGATAGTAAAAGAAGAGAAAAAATATATATAATTATTTTATCTTTTGCATATCTTTATTTATCTAGAATGCTATTAGCATGTAGGATGAATATCAAGATGATAAAGGAAGAAAAAATGTATAGAATTATTTTACCTTTTGCATATCTTTATTTATCTAGAATGCTATTAGCATGTAGGATGAATATCAGGATGATAAAGGAAGAAAAAATGTATAGAATTATTTTACCTTTTATATACCTTTATTCATCTAGAGTACTATTAGCATATAGGTTGAATAACGAGATAGTATTAGGAAACAAAAAATATACTATTTTGTATCCAATATCTATTTTTTAATTTACTATAATGCTGATATTTGTTAGTTTATTATTATTCTTTTTCAGAATGCATATTGGGTAAATAATAGGTCAATAAAGATATATCCCATTATTTAACCATTATTTATATATTTGATCTGTGCTATGAGCTGATAACTTTTGTTAGGGGAGTATACATATAGCCAACTGTATTTTTGTTAATGCAGTCAGAAAATATACAAAATTAGAAAATTATGTTTTAGAATAATTGCCAAAAATTTAATTAGCAATTGCAAGCTTTTGGCTACTTCAATATCATATATTAGAAAAATTTTTTTTCAAAATAATTAGTCACTAACAAATCTTTGAATATATAGTATAAGGCATCTAGTTTAAATAATCTACAATAATCTATTATGAAAACTCTACTTTGATAAAATAGATGAGCTAAAAACATGAATTTGATTTAACTAAAATAAATTTAAAATAATCATTTTTATATTTAATTTAGCACAAAATTATATTTAAAGTTAGTTTGCTAACTTTTTATTATCTATAGTTATCAGTTAGAATTAGAATACTATTTGACTTTATAAATTATTTTAAAAAAGTATTAGTAGAAGTATGTTACAAGATCACTATTCTAATTACTTGAGATCTTGAATGAAGTCAAATAGTTAAGTTTTTTTTTTTTTTCACTTAGGCAAGGTCACGCCAGTGATTTTTGTTTATCCAAGTTCTTTTTGTGAAAGCTGTAAACAATAAAACTATGACCCTAACATCCTGCGGTTACCTCGCATAACCTAACCGATTACTTATACGTACCTACAGGTGACCTGCCGCAACGCAAAGGTATGATCAATTAAGATAATACCCTAGATGGGGCTCGTCCAACCACCGCCCTACAATAGGATATCGCTAATCTGATGACATCTTCTCATAGGGAAGTGAAAGAAAAAAAAACATTTTACAAAAAAACACAGAGATATAAGGGAATATGATAAAAGATACAAACAAGAAAATAAAGAGATAGAGAGAAAATGAAAAAAAAGAAAAAACATAGGATATACCCACAATGGACGATCACAATTATAAGCCTGTGTCGAGCTTTGTAAAAATTACATACTACTATCTAAACTAGTTTCTACTCTAATTTAACTAATTAGTATATTT